CACTTTTACTCTTATATATAGTCTAACATGCTTTTTCTCATGAAAAATGCATAGTTTGCTTGAAAAATATGATATTTATGCCCAAGGGGGGAAAATATAGATTTATGAACATGCCCCAAAACTGACAAATCCCCTTTTTCGTTTCTCATTTGTATATTTTCAAAATCACTAAACTCCATTTAATCATGCATCTCTTGTTAATCTCAAGTAACATATATAAGTCAAGAACATACCACATATGTGCTATATAATCATGCATATATGACATATATTCAAAAATCACATCCAGGGTGACACTGAAAGTTTCCAAACAAGTTTTAAAACTGACTTTTAACCCAGATTAAAATTACTTTCAACATCACATTTCCATAGCATTGTCCATCACTATCATAAGATATATACCACATTTCATATAAAGTAAATCATGCCAATCGTATGAATTCCGCAATGGGGGTAGAATGCAAGTTTAAAACATCTTTCAAAACTGACAGAATGCACCCCTTCTCTTTTTCTTTTTACCAAAAAACCATCTACCAAGATCACGAACCTCAACCCGTATACAATTCCCAAGTTCTCTACTCCAAAATTTATTCATATAGCGTGAATACATATAATTCTATATACCAAACTTCATCAAACATTTAAAATAAAATCATAAGTTAACATGCAAACATGGATTTAAGCTTTTGGAAAAGATTTGGTTTAATCCACACTCACCAATCAAGCTATAATTTCAATGGGGCATTCAAGACAATATATGTTATCTGTAATATTTTCAAGTCACTTCAGAATCAATAACTATTTAAAACACAATTTCTTTCAAACCCATTTAAATCTGCCAACTGTATCAGAATTGAGGTTACTGACTTGTAAATTCATAACATTCAGCCCTAATCTAAACCTCATGAAACTCTCCAGAATTAAACTAGACACATAGGATTCACCAGAATTTAAAATCACTCATTTGGATAAGTATAAGTCATTATTTCAGTTCTGAAAAATGCATGCTCTACAGAAAACATGAAATTCCAGAATTTCATAGCAGAATTCAAAATTCATTAAAAAATCCAATACTTCGAATTTTGGGATGAAATAATTTTCAACCAATCTCTAATATTCTAAAACAAATACCTGAAAATTGCTTCATTTGCAAACCCGAAACATATATATTTTCAGAAGTTCGGACTGTCAGAATTTCACAGCATAACTTTTTATACCAAAAACATACTTTAATAACTCTTGGTTCTTTAGGATCAACATAATTGTTCTACCCATATAAAACCTATTGCATTAAATCTCCAATTTCAGTCAACAACACTTCACCACCATATCCAACATACTGCTTCCCATAATTCTGTTCTATCACAAACATTGTGAATATGCATAAAATGCACATATGCTTGTCAAAATTAATCAATATATGAAATCCATAATTTCCATACCCTTCATTCCAACCATTACTGCCACCAATTAATTTCCAGACAAACCAGCCCTACCAAAATTAGTTGGAATTCTCAATCATCAACCAAACAAAGGCGGAAACACAAATTCTGCTTTCCATTCAACAACATCTGGTATAGGCATAATTATTATACATGCAGGTCCACACTTACTTCCAAATTTCATTTATATAAAATCATTCACATGCATGCCAAAGATGATTTACAGAAGATGAATATAACCATATCAAGCTAAATAAATTTGAAGGTAAGGCATTTATGCACAAACATAGAAATCATTTCACTAAAAACATGATTTTATGCAAAGTTCTACTATTCCACTTACAACTCATGCTTGTAAGTTTCGCAAAAGCAAATGGACGGTAGAAAAAGGAAATCAACATGCAAGGGCATAAGCTTAAGTTTTTAAGGAAAATAGTTTAGATCCACTCACAATTCTAGCAACCGAACTCCTGCACTCTCCTCCCTCTTCTCTCTCACTCTACCATTTTTCAGCCGCACCCTTCCCCTCTCTTCTCCGTTTTCTTCTTTTCTTCATCTGGGCAAAATCAGCCTCCCTTGTTTTTTTAAACTTTTCTTTTTCTGCTCTGCTCCACTTTCTCCCTCTGCTCTCGTCTCCTTCTTCATTTGGGCCAAAATCGCCCCTTTTCTTTCTTTTTTATCTTTATCTTTCTAAATTTATGCTTCTGCCCCTAGGTTATAGGTATCCGCTAAACCCCTACCACATCAGCATTTCTTTCGAATAAACCTCTATGTTTTGCCCCTTGTTACATGCAAACCCAGCAGCTTCCTTATCTTGCAATTTCATTCCCATAAACTTTAAAAACTAACAGAAATCCCCTTCCATAAAATAAAATCACACAGAATATTAATATGTATTAGGATTAAAAACGGGGTTTCACACTTTCATTGTTTTCACTTACTTACTCCGTCCTTCTTCTACCATAAATATGATGATGAGCGTGTAAAACAATCTCATATTTCTCAGCTACGTATTGACCTGGCAACATTTTCCAAATTAGGTCCAGAACCTCATTTTTCTGCAAAAAGTTGAAAGGAGCTCTCCTGGAATACTGCTATGGATCAAGGTTTTAAATGTTTACAGTTGTTTTATGTCCCACCGTGTACTCCTATGGTATCAAGTCAAGTCAATTAAAGAAGGAATATAATGGCGGAATGGAAAATTCACACCTATAGAGTTGTGTATTTATTTATCCACCGGAACTGAATCAAATAACATCTATTCTAATCCAAAATTTCTATTGCACTTACGCTAAAATTTCTCCCTATTAAAAAGAGAAAATGATTAATCGGCTGTTTGCTAACCACCTAGTCGATTGATGATTGAATTGACCATTTATATCTAAAATTTTAAGTAAAGAACTTCATATTTTTACGATATCAATGTTCAACTAATTTCTAATTTCATCAATCTCTTTCTATTCTAAAACGTTGCATAGTTGATCATTCTCCTGTTGAGTTTTCCCTCTTATTGAGGAAGCCAAAAAGCCCATGTGTTTATTAAGCCACATGAGGAAGGGCCTTTTTGTCTATTACTCTAGGGATTTTTTTTTTTTTTGGGGGGGGGGGGGGGGGGGGGGAGGGGTGGCCATCCCCGAGGTCGAGGATGAAGGGGAGATCTTGAGGCCGGCCCACGGGGATTGGGTTGACCCCCGATCTCGCCCCAGTCAATGAAGTCTTTGTGGGGTCAACGTTTATGATGGGCTTTAGGATTCTTGACTGTGGGATGAGTTAGGATTTTCATGGGCTTTAGAGCCTTAGGCTTTTTATTTTTTATTTTTTTAAAGTACATTAACATTTGTATCTAATTTTTAGAAGTACAAAGGTTTTTATTTGAATATTTAGCTTTTATTTGAATACAAAAAACATCTATTATTACTCATTTGTATAATTGTATATGATTTCACTTAATGTTTCCCACAATTATAATCACATTTGATCAATTAATAGTGTGAAAACAATAATTATTAAAGTGGTAATTTCTTGGCAAATGTTATTTTTTTAGAAAAGAAAATGAACAAGAGAATTTCAAGCAAAATTATTGGACAAATTAATTATAAATATTATTTAAATGAAATGTCACAAATTAATTGATATGTAGTAAGACTTGTTAAATATAATTCATGATCAATTATAATATGTAGTAAGACTTGTTAGGTATAACATTAGTAACTTGTTAGATATGTAGCAAAAGTAGATATTAGAATTTAGAAAATAATCAAATATTATTGTATAAAATTAGATTTTAGACTTATGTGATACAATTTATTGTGTCTCTCCATCTTTATAATACACATACTGTTCCTCTTCCTTCTTCTAATTAATTTGTTTAGTTTGCTTCATTGATTAATATTCAACTATTCAAATTAATATAAGATTAACAAGATTTATTGAATATTAATAAGATTGCATAGAAAATATCTTATATTAAAAAATTTAAATGAAATGATATTATTATTATTTTTAATGAAATTTATATATACATGCAGGGCGGGGTGGGGTGGGGTGGGGTGGGGCGTCCCCGAGGTCGGGGAATTATTTCCCTTTCAGGGATTCCCCAGGCCATTCGCAGCGGGGCGAGGACCTGCTCAAACGCCCATCTCTAAGTACTCATACATTGGGTTACAACATATTTGGTGGGTTTATTTTTTGCTGTTGCTGTGAGCGTGTGAGAGTAAAAAACGCAGAACAAATTTCATTTTCATTCTACTCCAATCATACTTTATCAAGCACTCTAATAGAAGGTCATTCGTTGTTAGATTGAGCGTGTGTGTGTGCGCGTGTTGCAATTTTCTTTATTTACATGATTTTTATTCCAACTTCCATACATTTGATTTGCATTTATTGTTCAAATTAGTTTTGAATTATATTATTTCTTTAAATTATCATAGTTAATTATATACAATTGTTTTTATTTTATCTTGTATTAAATATATATTAATTATCAAGGTAATGAAAATTATATCATTTATTGCTTAATATATAGCTCTATTTATTTTTATCAAAAGTTCTCTTATAATATTAAGTTTCATCTAAAATATTTAAATTCAACATATACAATTTTTGCCAATTCATCCAACGATTTGGTAATTCTCCAGGTAAAAGATTATCTTCAAGTTTGAGAAACACCATTTTCTTTGACTTGTTTCTTTCATGACACAAAAAAAATGAAAAATAGGACCTCAAAAGCATTGTTGGACAGGTCTAGAAAAGTTGTGTTAGAGGATATAAGAGGTAATGAACCTGACAATTAATTTGAACTCAAGTCAATAATAGTGGATCGATCAGCCTGGGTTAAATTTGGAATCTCTCCATTGATTTGGTTATGAGAGAGATTTATATTTGAAAATGAGTAGTCCAAAACCAAACTATAAGTGTATCAACAGTTCTTGAGTTGGATATGTCCAAAGTAATTAGATGTTTTTGTGAATGAGGCCGTGAAGGAAATAAAGGCCTTAAATGACAATATGATAATTTAACTCCACCAAAGAAAGGAGTGAGTTTATCACCCACAGCCAATCAGAGACTTCTTGATACCATAAAGCTCAAATCAAAGTATTTCAGCAGAGAAAGACCAGACAGCCAACCCAAATTCTCAGCACGTATATTTGAATTATTACCAAGGTCAAGATATTGCAGATTGGAGAGAATATTTCCAATGTTGTGAGGAACATTTCCCCCATATCCAGCTCGGAAAAGGTAAAGGTATCTTAGATTCCCCATAGAACCAAGAAAATTAGGAATCTGAATTTCTTCAAAAATCATTCCTCAAGTCCAAGTAAATCAAATGTTTCAAATCAAGCAAGGAAGGATTTATATTACCAGACTACTTTGACCTCTCATGCATGAAAAGGTCTCCTATCTTATTAATTTATAATACTGTACTTTTTTATATAGATTGGAGATGAATTAGACTTATATTTTTGTCGTGGATATTATAAAAAGAGAATTTCAGATCCACTATTTCTTCTCAACATTGTGCAGGAGTTGTAATGTGTTATCAATTACCTGTTGGTAAATAAACCTTACTCTTTTGTATGTTTTCACTTATTTGCCTTGCAATGATTAGAGCAGCGTAACCGAACTCAATTAACCACTACTGGGTAGCCGATGGTGAAAAAAAGAAAAGAATATCTAACATGGTCTCCCATGTTCGAGTCCCCTTAATGGTAAAAATAATTCAATTATTCTCATCTATAAAGATAATTCTTTAATTTTCTTTTCACAAAGGGACGACTAAAGATGAGTACTAAAACTTAGTTGAAGTGTGCACAAACTGATCCAGATACCCCGATTAAAAAAAAAAAAAATTAATTCAAGTGACCCTAAAATAAACTCTTCCGACTCCAATGTAAAAGCCCCGCAGCCAAAAGACATTGGTGGGAAATTTCGTTGCACTAGTAGAATCTCTCAATTTGAACGCCACCAAAATGTCCCAAATTGAATCCAAGCTCCTCTCTAATGATATCCATGTACAATATCTAATTGTTCTAGTCGCCTATCTGTCAGTTCAATTTTTCTCTTATTTATTACTTTTTCGCTGTTGCATTACACTCTGTGATGCTTATTTTATTAGGGTTTTGTCAAGTACTTAGATTATTTTCCTACAGAAAATAATTTTACTGAATCAGCAAATAAATTTCTACGTATTATATTAGATTTTACCCATATTTTTATGCAAATAATCTACTGTTACCCGACTACGTAGAGTATTTATGAAGGCACTAACAATATACAATCTGTTTTTTATGTCACAAGATAATGTTCATTACAGTCTCGGGTTCCAACTCCCAACCACATCATGATCCTGTCTATTTAACCTTAAATGAAGCTTCCAATCATAATCAGAAAAAGGATACCTTTTAATTCATTACAATACGATTAAAGTACATAAAGACAACAAATCTCTAGACACAACATCTAGCTAGCAACATTTTCTTACAACACTGACAAATTTGTCGCCAGTGCGATCTAAGAATTGGCAATACATATACCTCCATCTTCTGTTCACAAGTAATGGACCTATTATGCTCCAAAAGCCAACCACAAATCCAAGTGCCATGCCTACATAGAACCAATTCACTTCATGCTCATTACCATTTTTCCTTCCGCTATGGTCATGGGCTGGAGTTAAAACAATACTAGTGCAATTCTTAGGAAGTGGAGATCCACAAAGGTCATTGCCAACAAAACTAGAAGCATCAAAGCTTTGTAATTGAGTGCCCGTAGGAATTTTTCCGGTCAAGTTGTTGTTAGACAAGTTCAAGTGACTCAAAAATGTCAAACCTGAAATGACTTGTGGAATTTCACCTGTGAGTTGGTTTGCAGAGAAATCAAGAGATTCTAATGAGGTCATAGCACCGATAGTTTCAGGAATTCTTCCACTGAATGAATTGTAAGACAAATTCAATGATTGTAATGCTTTAAGATTTGTTACTTCATTCGCAATCACTCCTGAGAAGATGTTGCCAGAAAGGTCTATACTTCTCACCAAATTGAGAATATTATTATATTCAATAGCTTTTCCTTTCGTCACAAGAACTGCGTCCTCACAGTACACTATTTCAAAGAAGCTCGAGGCTTCGGACCCGTAGGAAATATAGTTCGCTTCATCATAGTAAATTGACACCATGGCACTGAGGTTCTTAATACAACTTGGAATGGTTCTAGAGAGATTGTTGTAAGCAAGGTCCAAGACATGTAGAAAAGTCAGATAGCAAAGTTCTGTTGGTAAATGACCATCAAACTTATTTGATCGAAGGTTAAGCATTACCATATATGAAAGTTCTTGTCCTATCCATATCGGTATATTTCCAACAAACCAGTTTTCAGCAACATCAAATGTCATTAAACTGGTACAATTTTTAATTGACGTTGGAAGTATCCCCGAGAGGTTGTTTTTCCGAAGGTGCAATGACTGAAGCAAACTTAATGATCCAATAGAAGATGGAAGATTACCAGTAAAATTATTGTTATCTAAATTCAACATTCTCAATGCTTGCCAATTCATCCAACAATCTGGTAATTCTCCGGATAAAAGATTATCTTTAAGTTTGAGAATTTTCATTTCCTTTGACTCGTTTCTTTCGTGACACGAAAAATGAAAAATGGAACCTGACAAAGCATTGTTGGAAAGGTCAAGCAGAGTCATGTTAGAGGACACAAGAGGTAATAAACCTGATAAATTATTTGAACTCAAGTCAACATATCGATGAGCCTCAGTCAAATTTGGAATCTCTCCATAGATTTGGTTATGAGAGAGATTTAAATAAGGTATTCGAAAATCAGATGTCCAAAACCAATTCGGAATTTTATCCACAATTCCTGAGTTGGATATGTCCAAACTAACTAGATATTTCTGTGAATGAAGCCACAATGGAAATGATGGCCCTAAATGACAATATCCTAACACCAGACGTCTGATCTGAAATGGAGGAATCCAATCAGGACTGACTTTCAACATCAATGAGTTACCAAAGATGCCAAAAGATAATAGTCTCGTCAAATTGGCGAAATGAATTTCAGAGACTACTCCTTCCAACTTGTTATTTGAAAGATCTAAAAATCTCAGAAACGAAAGTTCTCCAATACTCACGGGAACAGATCCAGAAAGGGAGTTGTATTTGAGATCAAGATATTTTAGATTTTTAAACTGCCCAAGTTGTTCAGTCAAACGACCAAAAAGATTTGTGTTCTCTAAATTCAGATATTCCAAAACCCCTGAAACGCATCCTGAGAAAATGTTTAAGACTTCACGTATCTCTTGACTCAATTTGACATCAAACAAGTCAATTGCATTCAAATTGCACAGTCTCTCCCATGACCTGCTTATGTTTCCTTCAAGTTTATTGGAGGAAACATCAAGGCTTGCGAGAGAAGTCAAGTTTCCTAAAGCACCTGAAATTGTACCTTCCAAGTTATTTCCCCCAAGAGAAAGGAACTCGAGATGACTATTTCTATACAACCAGTCCGGTATTGAAGAATTGAGTTGGTTGGAAGATAAATCAAGATGTTTAAGGGATGTCAAATTTTGAAGTTCATGAGGAAGTGATCCTTTGAATTGATTTTCACTTAAATCGAGAAAGACTAAATTACGAAGACCAGAAACCCAACCAAATATCAAATTGTTAGGATTATGGTTAAATGAAAGATCAAGTGTGGTAAGAGATGACAAATTTGCAAGGGGCACTGGGGTAAGTTGAAATAGGCTACAAAAAGATAATTTTAACTCCATCAAAGAAGGGAGTGCGTTAATCACTGATAGCCAATCAGACACTTCGTAGAGATCCATAAGGCTCAAATCAAGGTGCTTCAGAAAAGAAAGACCAGATAACCACCCCAAATTCTCAGCATGCAAGCGATTAATACCAAGGTAAAGATATTGCAGATTAGAGAGATTTCCAAGGTCGTGAGGAACACTTCCCCGAAATCCAACACCAGAAAGGTCAAGGTATCTTAGATTCCCCATTGAACCAAGAAATCTAGGAACCTGAATTTCTTCATCAAAATTATTATTGCTCAAGTCCAAGAAAACCAAATGCTTCAAATTAAGTAGAGAGGGATTTATCTTACCAGACAACTTTGCCCTCTCATAAGCATCATAGGCTTTGGCAGAATCTTTCAACATTGATTCAACTCTGTAGCTGACCTCTGAACCGTGAGAATATAATTCGATAGGATTTCCAAGATGGAGCTCCAGGACATGGCCGGTAAAATTGTCGCAGACAACACCATCCCAGGTACAACAATCTCCATCCCGAGATCTCCAAGAGACAAGCCTGTTGGAAGGATCTTTGAGATCTTGCTTGAACCTCAAAAGGGCTTGTCTCTCATTCTCAATGCAACCGACATAGCTTCCATAGCAGAAGCTGATCTTGATGGTTGCGATGGCAAGTAATTCAAGGAAAAGACGCGCACTCATGGTCGGTTTCATTGCAAACAATAAAACAAGGAAATAATGATTATGAGAGTGCTATCAATTGTGTGCTATATATAGAGACTAAGAGGCCTCATGTTACCCTGCAATTCAAGGATCGAAATGTTATGGCAAATAAGTTGCGGGAAATTTCTTAAGGACTTTCAATTTGAGTCAACTAAAGTGAAAACTATAAGAGCTAATTGGATTTTTTTACTCCCTCAATGTACAAAAAGTGGCTTAAATAGTGTAAAGTTGTGTTCACATGCTTTTTCTGCAACCAATTTTCCAAAGTAGGTCCAGAACCTCATTTTTCTGCAAAAAAGTTGCAAGGAGCTTTCCTGGAATATTGCTAAGAGTCCAGGTTCTAAATATTTACAGTTGTTTTATGTCCCACCGTGTACTCCTATGGTAATCAAGTCAAGTCAATGAAAGAAGGAATAGAATTGCGGAATGGAAAATTCACACTTGTACACATTTATCCATCGGAACAGAATCAAATAACATGTATTCTAATCCAAATTTTCTATTGCACTTACTGCTTAAATTTCCCCCAATTAAAAGGAGAAAATGATTAATAGGCTGTTTGCCAACCACCAAGTCGATTGATGAATGAATTGACCATTTATAGTTTAAAATTTAAAAGTAAAGGACTAACATATTTTCAATGATATCAATGTTCAACTAATTTCTAATTCAATCAACTTCTTTCTGTTCTGAAACGTTACGTATATGTACGTTCTCCTATTGGGTTTTCCCTCTTATGTGGAGGAAGCCCAAAAGCCCATGTGGTTTATTAAGCCCACATAGAGAAAGGGCATTTTGTCTATTACTCTTAGGGATGGGCAGGGGAACGGTTGGGGATCCCATTCCCTAGCCCCATCCTCACCTAGGGAATTCCCTAGGCCCAGCCTACAGGGATTGGGTTCTTTGCAGGGTCAACAGGGTCAGTGTTATGATGGGCTTTAGGATTCTTGATTGTGGGATGGGTTTGGGCTTTAGGAATATTAACTGTGGGTGGGGTTAGGATTTTCATGGGCTTTAGAGCTTTAGGCTTTTTATTTTTTATTTTTTTTTAAAGAACATTAACATCTGTAAATAATTTTTACAAGTACAGAGGTTTTTATTTGAATATTTAGCTTTTATCTTAATACAAAAACATCTATTATTACTCATTTGTATAATTGTATATGATTTCACTCAATGTTCTCACAATTATAATCACATTTTATAATTTAATAGTGTGAAAATAATAATTAAAATAATAATTATTAAGGTGATAATTTCTTGACATATGTGATTTTTTTAGAAAAGAAAATTATATATGTGAATTTCTTGACAAATGTGAATTTCAAGCAAAATTATTGGACAAATTAATTACAAATATTATTTAAATGAAATGTCACAAATTAATTGATATATTCTAAGACTTGTTAAATATAATCTATGATCAGTTATAATATGTTGTAAGACTTGTTAGGTATAACATTCGTAACTTGTTAGATATGTACTAAAATTAGATATTAGAATTTAAAAAATAATCAAATACTATTGTCTAAAATGAGATTTTAGACTTATGTAATACAATTTATTGTGTCTCTCCATCTTTATAATACACATAAAATTCATCTTCCTTCTTCTAATTAAGCAGTAATTTTAAATTACAACGATTTTAATTTTTTCTCGCATATAGTTCCTCTTCATTATTCTAATTAATTTGTTTAGTCTGCTTCATTGATTAATTTTCAACTATTCAAATCAATATAAGATTAACAAGATTTATTGAATATTGATAAGATTGCATAGAAAATATCTTATATTATTTTTTTTAAATGAAATGATATAATGTTTTTTTTTTGAATGAAATTTATATATGCGGGGCGAGGTGTTAAAACTCAAGTCCAAAGGAGAGTCCAATCCAAAAGACCACTCTGATAGGTGAGAGAGTCCTTAGGCTTAAGTACCATGCTTGGTGGGTGTGAGATCCTGATATGGGATCCTAACATTGCACCCCCCTTCAAGAGTCGACGTCCACGATTGCTTTTACTTTATCGACACTAACCTGATGGTAGCCCTTTCCCCCTTTGGACAGCTTCACTCACATATCAGTTATTCGATGCAGCACCCCCTCCCAAGGAGAGCACACTACACTTTAATCTAGCCTATAAATAACTCTTTTCGCAGCTCTACTCTCAACAAAAGCACCAATGTTAATACTCAAACTCAAGGGAGAGTCTAACCCAAAAGACTGGCCTGATAGGTAAGAGAGCCCTTGGGCTGAAGTATCATGTATCGTGAGTGTGAGATCTCAATGTGAGATCCTAAAACGGGACTCACCTAAGTAGGTCAAACGCCCATCACTAATTACTCTTACTTAGGGTTATAGCATAGTTGGTGGGCTTATTTTTTGTTGTTGTTGTGAGTGTGTGAGAGTAAAAAACACATAACAAATTTCAGTTTCATTCTACCCCAATTAGACTTTATCAAGCACTCCGATGGAAGGTCATTCTTGTCACATTGAGCATGTGTGTTTCAATTTTACATGATTTTTATTCCAATTTTCATACATTTGATTTGTGTTTTGTTCAAATTAGTTTTGAATTATATTATTTCTTTAAATTTTTATAGTTAATTATATACAATTGTTTTTATTTTATCCTGTATTAAATATATATTAATTATCATGGTAATGAAAATTATATCATTTATTGCTTAGCATATAGTTCTATATACTCTTATCAAAAGTTCTCTCATAATATTAAGTTTCATCCAAAATATTTAAATTCAACATATACGATTTTTGCCAGTTCATCTAACGATCTGGTAATTCTCTAGATAAAAGATTACCTTCAAGTTTGAGAAACACCATTTTCTTTGGATTGTTTCTTTCATGACACAAAAAATGAAAAATAGAACCTCAAGAGCATTGCTGGAAAGGTCTAGAAAAGTTATGTTAGAGGAATTAAGAGGTAATGAACGTAACAATTTATTTGAACTCAAGTCAACAGTTGTGGATCGATCAACCTGGGTTAAATTTGGAATCTCTCAATGGATTTGGTAATGAGAGAGATTTATATTTGAAAATGAGTAGTCCAAAACCAAACGGGAAGTGCATCAACAATTCTTGAGTTGGATATGTTCAAAGTACTTGGATGTTTTTGTCAATGAGGCCGTGAAGGAAATAAAGGCCCTAAATTGTTGAGATATGGAATGCAGATATTTGGTTTAAAACCAAATATCCGTTTATGATTACTATCCATTTCTATTATTACTCAAATTTCATGTGATTATGAAATTAAGGCATGATATTTGTATTTTCCTTTTATTGATTCATTTTTCTTGTATAAATTGACAATGTACAAAGCATAGTATACACAAAATACATTTCTTCTCGTTCTTCTAGCAGACTCTTTATTTCTCTCTGCTTCTCTTTGCCAACACTAGTCCGAACTCTGACATGGTATCAGAGCAGTTCAACTGAATCAGCTTCCACTCAGCTAACCTCTTTATTCTGTCCCTGCAAATACAAAAAAAAAACCTCTGTTAGATATTTTTTTTTTTTGTTGTTTTTTTTATAAGCCGAAATGGCAAACACTCAAGACCCAACACTAGGCCCCAACAATACCACAATCAACCCAATACATGAGGCCCAAACACTACAACACAAACTGCCCAGATAACAAACAAACAGGCCCAAATCTAACAACCCAAACCTATTATGCTTGAAAGATTGGAATTGAAGCTTTTGAATTGGAATATATTTTTGAAGAGAAAGATGAATTATCGGGTTTCTGAAATTATGTTGACTTTTTTATTGACTTGTGAGATGTTGGTGAACTTGGAGCTGACGTGTCCATGATTATCACAATTCTTTTCTTTAAATTATGTCCCGTCGGCCACCGCGGCATGATGCCAGGAATAGAATAAACTCAAGAGATTATAAAAAGAAATACACTTCAAAACTACTTATTAACCTATCTAATATATCAATAATAAGATTAGTAGGATGTCAAAATTAAGCAATATATCCTTCTAATAAATATTAACTAATCAGCATATACGATTTCTGTTTAGTACGAAGTGGGAATAGTAATTAGATTTGCATGATCACAAAACATTTCTATTCAGTATTGGAAGGATTTTCCTTCTCAAACTATTGTGGAAAGTTCAAGTGATTCCAGAAACAGGATTCATGGTTGATTTTGCACTACAACTTTATTGCAGGCAAAAAGAAGGAAATGTGCATGAGAATGTTATCAATTGCGTGCATATTATTCTTATTATATTTGGCCGGCAGAGATAAATGTTCAACAAATTTGATGCACACATGTATGAACTGGAGCTGTCCTGGTGTTTTTGTTTCTTGCAAACTTAAATTCCCTGTGCAAGCAAACACAGAAAAATACAGTCTCTTCCATTATTTCTTGGTTGAAGTACACAAGATTCAATACAAGGGTGATCGTATAGTGATATTCTCTTACAACATTGCCAAATTTCTCAATACAATACAAGAAAACGATAGCAATACTTACATATTTTTTTCACAATTAAAGGACCTATTGCAAAACCCACCACAAATCCAAGAGTCAGACTTACATAGATGATAGAACCAATCCACTTCGTTTTCGTTACCATCTTCTCCTCCAGTCTCATAGTCAACTACTGGAACCATCGCTGGACAACTATTAGGAAGTGGAGATCCGCAGAGTTGATTGCCAATAAAGTAGGATGCATCAAAGCTTTGAAGTTGAGTGCTTGAAGGAATTTTCCCTATCAATTTGTTATTGGATAAGTTCAAGTGGCTCAAGAATGTCAAACCTGAAATACTTTTTGGGATTTGACCACTGAGTTGGTTTGCAGAAAAATCAATCGACTCTAGTGACCTCATAGCACCAATATTCTCAGGAATTCTTCTCGTAATAAAGTTGTTTGACAAATTCAATGATTGCAATGCTCCAAGGCTTGTTACTTCGGTCGGTATCTCTCCTGACAAGTTATTGTTTGAA